CTGGGCGTGCCTGGCTGTTGCTGGTGAAACAAAGTGCCTAAAGGAATTTGTCACTGAAACACCAGAACCACCATCACTGGGAAAAGAAACCCCTGGTGGATCCAGCTCTTGATGCTGTAGTTGACTGTACTTTGCAGATTGTACGTTTTAATGCCCTGCAGATAATTACACTGCCCGTTGCCGCTGTGATTCTCCAGTCCTGAGGACAGAAAAGCTCTCCAGGCAAGCAGCTCAGAGCGCAAGGAAGGGAGCTCCTCCCCATGCGTGGAGAGCAGAGGCAGAGCTTCATGGGAGATGTAGTCCAATAGAGGGGAAGCACTGGAACTACAGCTCCCACGAGCTTCTGTGGCAGCATCTCCAAATCCAAATCGTTTGGTTTTCAAGAGTTTGGGCTTTTGATGCAAACCAGCATTTCCCACGGGAAACGGGGGTGTTTGTGCCAACCGGGGGAAATGGTGGCAGCCCAGCTTTCTGCAGAAAACCAGCTTCAACTAAAAACTTTTCCCTGCTGTTTTATCGTGTTCGAGCGCTGCCGCCGATGGCTGGGCATGCAGGGTCACGGGAGAGAATAGTGGGGAGTGCAAGCGTTCGACTTCCCTTCCGGGCGTGCCTGTCGGCTTCTGCCCCACTGTGCGCAGTGCATCTCCCGAGCCCTGGGCTTCACGAAGCTCAGTACCACGTTCTCTTCTTCCCTCCCTAGAAATATCATTTCCGAGCTGGAGCATCTGAGTTTTATCAGCACTGACGTGGGGCGCTGCCGGGCCTGGCTGAGGCTGGCGTTGAATGATGGCCTCATGGAGTGTTATTTGAAGTTACTGCTCCAGGAGACATCCAGGCTGCCCGAGTACTATCAGACATCAGCCCTGCTGCTGGATGTGGAGGAATGCGAATTTCTGCTGAGCTTTTTGCAGGGGTTAGCTTCCCTCACCTTCGAACTGTCCTACAAATCCGCCGTTTTAAACGAGTGGACGGTCACTCCCTTGGCCCTGTCGGGGCTGTGTCCTGTTTCGGAGCTGCTGGAGCCTCTGACGCCCTTCAGCTCGGAACTCCAGAGGAAGGAGTCGCTGGGTTCGGTCTCGCACTCGTCCGGCTCCGATGACAGTGACGTTCGACCCAGCGTATTGCTCATCGGTAAAAACGAGGACAGAAGTAACCTCACCTGCTCCACGCTCAGCCTGAACACGACGAGCTGCTCCCAGCCATCCTCCAGCCCAGGCTCCGGCAGCCTCCTGCAGGCCAACTGCACTAGGAGTCCGGGGAGGGACGAGGTGCTGCTGTCGAGCGACTCCGACGTAGGGCCGGCCGGCACCGAAGAGGAGGACAGGTCTCTGCAGGAGTGAGTATCTCCGTCATCCTCTCCCCCCCAGAAAACCTGCCAGTCTCTCCAGAGCCTCGTCCCTATCCTGTGGGCGTGGAAAGGGAAAAGGAAAGCGAGTTTCCTGCAAGCCAGTGGTGGGCAACCTGCGGCCCCTCTGGCTACCTCTCTCAGACTGGCCAGAGCCCTGAACGTTCCTCCTCTGCCCCCTCCCTTGCACGCCTCTCACGCACCGGGGAACCAGAGCCCTGAACGTTCCTCCTCTGCCCCCTCCCTTGCACGCCTCTCACGCACCGGGGAACCAGAGCCCTGAACGTTCCTCCTCTGCCCCCTCCCTTGCACGCCTCTCACGCACCGGGGAACCAGAGCCCTGAACGTTCCTCCTCTGCCCCCTCCCTTGCACGCCTCTCACGCACCGGGGAACCAGAGCCCTGAACGTTCCTCCTCTGCCCCCTCCCTTGCACGCCTCTCACGCACCGGGGAACCAGAGCCCTGAACGTTCCTCCTCTGCCCCCTCCCTTGCACGCCTCTCACGCACCGGGGAACCAGAGCCCTGAACGTTCCTCCTCTGCCCCCTCCCTTGCACGCCTCTCACGCACCGGGGAACCAGAGCCCTGAACGTTCCTCCTCTGCCCCCTCCCTTGCACGCCTCTCACGCACCGGGGAACCAGAGCCCTGAACGTTCCTCCTCTGCCCCCTCCCTTGCACGCCTCTCACGCACCGGGGAACCAGAGCCCTGAACGTTCCTCCTCTGCCCCCTCCCTTGCACGCCTCTCACGCACCGGGGAACCAGAGCCCTGAACGTTCCTCCTCTGCCCCCTCCCTTGCACGCCTCTCACGCACCGGGGAACCAGAGCCCTGAACGTTCCTCCTCTGCCCCCTCCCTTGCACGCCTCTCACGCACCGGGGAACCAGAGCCCTGAACGTTCCTCCTCTGCCCCCTCCCTTGCACGCCTCTCACCCACCGGGGAACCAGAGCCCTGAACGTTCCTCCTCTGCCCCCTCCCTTGCACGCCTCTCACGCACCGGGGAACCAGAGCCCTGCACGTTCCTGCTCTGCCCCCTCCCTTGCACGCCTCTCACGCACCGGGGAACCAGAGCCCTGCACGTTCCTGCTCTGCCCCCTCCCTTGCACGCCTCTCACGCACCGGGGAACCAGAGCCCTGAACGTTCCTCCTCTGCCCCCTCCCTTGCACGCCTCTCACGCACCGGGGAACCAGAGCCCTGCACGTTCCTGCTCTGCCCCCTCCCTTGCACGCCTCTCACGCACCGGGGAACCAGAGCCCTGCACGTTCCTGCTCTGCCCCCTCCCTTGCACGCCTCTCACGCACCGGGGAACCAGAGCCCTGCACGTTCCTGCTCTGCCCCCTCCCTTGCACGCCTCTCACGCACCGGGGAACCAGAGCCCTGCACGTTCCTGCTCTGCCCCCCCTCCTTTGCACGCCTCTCATGCACCAGGGAACCAGAGCCCTGCACTTTCCTGCTCTGCCCCCCCTCCCTTGCACGCCTCTCGTGCACCGGGGAACCAGAGCCCTGCACGTTCCTGCTCTGCCCCCCCTCCTTTGCACGCCTCTCATGCACCAGGGAACCAGAGCCCTGCACTTTCCTGCTCTGCCCCCCCTCCCTTGCACGCCTCTCGTGCACCGGGGAACCAGAGCCCTGCACGTTCCTGCTCTGCCCCCTCCCTTGCACGACTGCACATCCGTTGATTCATTCTGTCCCCTCTCCTGCCCCTCCCTCCCAGAGCTGGAGCCTTTGAATCAGCTGTTCACAGCATTCCAGCTCTGGGAGGGAGCGTGAACCAGATGATTCACACGCTCTGGAAGTGCTGGCGGGAGGGCGAGGAGTAGGAAGTGCAGGGCTCCCATGCCCCAGTGAGCAAGAGGTACATGGGGGAGGGGGGGCTGCGGTGCTGAAGTCGGAACTCCAGTGGAGGGCCGCTCATGCAGCCCAGTCACTCATTCGGGTTGCCCATCGCTGCTGTCAGTTGACGCTTGTGTGGCCTCCCAGGAGAGATTCAAAGGCCCCCAGATGATTAGCTGAGCGCCCACAACGACAGCAGGTATTTCTACTGGTGGTGCACACCTGCACATGCCTCGGTGTACAGAACAAAATTTATTCTGCACAAGGTTGGAAAAATTCGAGAGAACACTAGTTGCAAGGCTTGGCTGGAGCTTTCCTGCTAAGTAAAGTGACTGCAGCTCAGATCAACGGCAGGCTGTGGAAGGCAGGTGCAATCTAAGATCAGAGCTGGTTTTGTCTTGGCAAGTGCAGGTTTTAAACCAGGGCGGTGGTCAGAGAAGAGGCTCTGTGACTCTTGCCTTGTCGGCTGTGTTTAGATTCCTGACAAAAAGCCACCTTGAACGGCTATCCGCCCGGCGAGGCAGCAAAATGATAGCAGACCGCCGCTCAATTCATTCTGCCTCATGCAGCACTCTCGTTAACAGCTTCCTCACACAGCTTTCGCTTTTAAAAAATTCACTTCTTGAGACTGTGCCAAAAAAGAGCCCACTTGGATTCGATTAGGTTAGTGATGGAAGGATTTCTGAGTTGAGGTTCAATCTCAGCTGTTATGTTGAGATCAAAATTGAGAGCAGAGGAGCATGAAGCAGGCTCTTATCTGAGCAGACACCGCTGCTATCTGCTTATCACAGCTACCAATGCTTATTCTTACAGGAAATTGACACCCAAACCACGGCAAGCCACAGATCAAAGCAGTCATGCAAAACTGTGATAGGTAATCCTAGTCGTGTGCAGAGCTCTCTTCTGCGGGACCGACCATACATAGCAGTCCAAAATAATGACTTGGGACCCGTGTAAAAGCAAACTCCCAAGTATGCTGAGGATATGAATTGCTTAAAGAAAGCATCCGTGCTGGAGCCGAGCTCGTTAGCTGGTTCAGCCTTGTGCTATGTTACCGAAAGCCAATGATTTGGGCCGGAACATTTATTTTTCTCGTAACTGTGGATGAATGAGGAGTCTCCTGTTTTGACTTGGAAAGGCCGTTCTCTGGCGGTGCAGGAACCCCTTTTTCCCAGCCCTGGAGCATTAATACACCTGCCACAAGCAGCACATCACGCCTCATCTCCAGTAAATTCTCACAAGCACGTGTTAGTCTGTGTCTGCAGACCCCACGAGGAGTCCCGTGGCCCTTAGGGACGAACTGATTGATTAGGGCATCAGCTTTCGGGGGGAGATGAATTCTACCCGCGAAAGCAGATGCCCTAGTGAATCTGTTAATCTCCAAGGGCCCCCGGGACTCCTCGTGGGGTCGCACAGAGGCAAGCGCAGACAGCCAGGGCGCTGCGATGTCACAGGGTATGGGACAGCACCTTCGAAAGAGGAAAATCCGTGTTGTTTGATTGGTGCAGTGGCAGCATTTCTGCTGCTGCCTGACGCTCCGGGTCTCTGAGACCGTAGGGGCTGGACAGCTGGAAGTGCTGACGTCCTAGCTCTGCTGCTCCACCCCTGTGCTTTAGTAGCTGGTATCTAGCCCCAGCTGCATTCTTGGGTAGCTCTGCTCCACTCCTCCATCACTGGCAAGATTGGCTGCTTTTCTAAAGAGCTGGGGGCATGTTGTGCAGGAGCTCAGAGGGGATGATCAGAAAAGTCTCGCCTGGCCCTCGAGTCTGCGAGACGCTTGTCGTGGATGCATTAGACCCTAGACAAAGGCCTGGGCCGATCCCTGAAGGCGGTACACTGCTTCGGAGGCTGTGCCGGATGTCGTCCTCTCGGGGCCTCGGCGGACCAGTGAGGCCTTGCAGTTTACCACTGGAGCAGGCGTTGGTTAGTCTATTCACTTTTCTTTGCTTAAACTCTGTTTTAAGGGTATTGTCTGAATTCAGCAAAGCTCAGCAAGTCCGTGAACCTTCTGAAGAAGAGCTCGGTCCTAGCCTATTGGCATTGGCGCCCGGGCAGCTGGCATCTCCTCCTGCCGTCCCCACACCCACTCCCCTGCCATTGGGCGCGGCAGCAGAGAGCGCTCCATGTGCTGCGCTGCCTCCTGAGACCGGCAACCCGCCGTGCCCCTGGGCCGACGAGCCAGCTACAGCCAGCAGGCTGCCCGCTCCGCCGTCCCAAGCGACAGGAATCCAGGCGTCTCAGCCAGTCGCAGCCCACAAAGATCCCTCCCGTCAGCTTTACGTTATTGACCCAGAGGGTTACGATGGACCCAGTCAGATCAATGGCCATAAGGAAAGCCAGGAGGATCACAGGCCAGTGACGGAGTTCTTGCTTTCACCAGCAGCAGCGTGTCCGGTAGGTGATACAGCGTTTTTAGCCCTTCACAGCTGAGCAAGCGGGGAAGTGGTGAGGAAGCATAAAACGAACGGTTTGTGGAGGGCGAAGGAGACTTCCCGCTGGCTGGTCCGTTGAAGTTAAGCCCCGCGGACCATGCTTGTTTGGTCTCCTGGTCACTCTGAATATTGCCACAGAGCCACGACGAAAAGCTTTCCTTGCCCCGGCCGTGCGCTGCGGAAGCTGAAGGCCGCGCTGCTGTGCTAGGCTTTGAGAAATCCCTTCTCGTTAAATTACCTGGCAAGCGCTGCACCAAAAGCTTCCTGATCTAGGTAGCTACGGGAAAGGGTGGCTGGATTTCCCACTGGCCTCAGCTCCCATTGTTCTCAGTGAAGGGGAACAGACTTTCGGTTGTTCTCTAGAGAAACCGCTGAGCCCTGCTGAAAATCTGTCCCTAGATATTTTGCAATCTGAAAGAACAGTCTGAGAAGTGTCATTGGGACGTGCCAGGAGAGTTCCTCTTACGCAACAACTGGCTGCACAAACCAGTCCCCTGAAACAGCCCCACCAGGTGTTGCTACATGCAGCATCAGGTGTCTGGTCACCGAGGCTAGTGCAGGGTCGCCCTCGCCAATGCTCTGTCTAGTCTGAATCTCTCGCGGGAAGGGTAGCGCCGCATCCGGTGGCCGGCTGGAACAGTCCCCTTGATTTCACTGCTTGTAAACGTAGCCTGATGGTCGAGCCAGATTGTGCTTTGCTTAATTCCATCTCCCGATGCATCATTCTGTCTTGATGCTATTGCCAAGTATCCTCACGCCGCCCCAGACAGTGTCTCTTGCTGGGGTCTGCTCCTTAAAAATGCTCAGTGACCATCTCACGAGGACAGTCAAGGGATTAAAAAATAATCAGATGAATGGCACTTCTAAGCAATAATAGCACACCGGTTATTTAAGGGCGTTTTCTACATTTTCAAATATATTGATTTAAGTAACACGATACAAACTGCACTGTGCTCACTTTGTAGTTACTTTTGATTCCTGTACAAAATAAAAGAAATAGTATTTTGCAGTTCCCCTATTACAAAGACGATAGTGCAGTCTCTTTATCGTGACAATTGAGTTTACAAATGTAGAATTATGTACAAAACCCACCTGCATTCAAAAATAAAACCATGTCAAACTTTAGAGCCTACCAGTCCGCTCATTCCTACTTCTTGTACAGGCAGTTGTTCAGACCAGTGCTTCCCAATTTTGTTTGGCCATGGAACCCGGGAACTGGGAGACCAAAAAAAAAAAAAAAAAAGGTGGAAAAAGTGTCAAGCAAAACTAAACAAAAAACCCCTGCCAGCCCGCCTCTCAGACTGCAGCGGCCCCTTGAAATGACGACCTGGCTCGCCCACCCCTAAGGCCGGCTAGGCAGCAGGGGGGGTATGATTGGGTTCTTGCAGAGCCCTTACTTTCACACAGAGCGCTGTTTGGGAAACACTGGTTCAGACAAACAAGTTTGGTTACATTTGCGCGAGTTAAAGCTGCCTGCTTCTTCTTTACAATGTCACCTGACAGTGAGGCAGGTGTTCACACTGTTTGTTGTGGCTGGTACTGCAAGATATTACTTGCCAGATGCATTAAGGATTCATAGGTCCCTTCACGCTTCAGCCACCATTCCAGACGACATGCGATCCAAAGCAACGGGGACCAATGCAAGGGTGATTTTCATTTCCGGTGGTTCAGGTTCTGCAGTTTAAAAGAGCAACACTTTCATGTAGAAGACTTCTGAAAGCAGGCTCCACACCTTGTCCTTCTCAGACTTTGGACAGCTCTTAAACCTGGTGTCGAGTGCTGTAGCTGTCTTTAGAAACCACACGTTGATCCCTTCTAGCTGCAGTGAAAGTGTCCTTAAAACAAGCATGTGCCGGCTCATTGCCCGAGACTGCTGTAACAGAGACTGTTTGGCAGACTTTGGGTAACAGAGGGCAGGAGGCAGACAGTTCTCCCCCAGGGAGTTCAGTCACAAATGTAACTAACTCGTCATTTTTTTAAAGAGCATATCAGCGTAGAAGCACATCCCCTGGAATGGTGACTGAAGCATGCAGGGGCATATGAATGTTTAGCATCTGGCATGTAAATACCTTGCAACACCAGCTACAATAGTGCCAGGCAAACGCCTGTGCTCCCTCGCAGGTGATATCGTAAATAAGAAGCAGGCAGCTTTCTCTCCCATAAATATAAACAAACTTGGTTCTCTAGGTGATTGATTGAACAAGAAGTAGGACTGAGTGGACTTGTAGTCTCTATAGTTTTATATTGGTTTGGTTTTGAGTGCAGAGGTGTAACACAAAATGTCCATTTGTAAGTTGCATTTTTCATGATTGCACTACAGTATTTGTATAAGGTGAACTGAAAAATACTGCTTCTTTTGTTTATCATTTTTACAGTGCAAATATTTGTAATAATTATAGAGTGAGCACAGTACACTTTGAATTCTGTGTTGTAACTGAAATCAATATATTAGAAAATGTAGAAAAATATTCAAGACATTTCAATTAATATTCTATTTTTAACACTGCAATTAAAACTGTGATTGATTTTTTGGTTTAGTTAATCACTTGAGTTAATTGCAATTACTTGACAGCCCTACATATTACCTATCCTGCCTCTTGGCTGTGGTTTGGTTGATCTATTCATAACCTGTGCATGTCAACAGGAAATTCCGTCATGCTTAAATATCTGTTATTGTCCTGCATGAGTCATTCCTTTTTCTAGAGTAAATATAATCTTCTTGTATCTTGGCGCTTGCTACATTGTGTGTAGGGACTGTCCCTTTAGCAGCCAGAAGGGACAGTGGTTTTTCACAAAAAATAAGTAAATAAGGTTTAGCTCATGTTCAAATCATAAGGATGCTTGAAAATTAAGTAGAACACATGAGCGGTGATCATTTTATTAGATCAGTTGTTGCAGTATGACTAAGGGTTTGGTGGGAGATGTCACCCGTGTGCACAGTTGGAGTGGTGGTAGGAAATGGAGAAGAGCCTATCTAAGGGAATGCGCTTACCCTAGCCTGGAGCAGGCGCTGGGTCGCCGCACGCTGCGGGAAGTTGGTGCCTCCCAGCTGCACAGATAGAAATTCGCTTCAGGGCGGGCTTAAAAGTAATGAGAAGACAGAACGTGAGAATGGCCAGGCCCGTCCCGCCCAGCGTCCTGTCGGCTGACAGTGGCCAAGGCCGGTGCCCCAGAGGGGGGAACAGACCAGGGAACCATCATGCGATCCCTCCCCTGTCGCCCCTTCCCAGCCTTTTTCCCCCAAAAGTCATCTCATTAGTTCATCTTAGGCCGGGGGAGGGGAACCTAAGGCCTGGGGCCAGAGCACACTGAATCTACGAGCCTGGGCCCCCGGGCTCTGGTGTGCGAGGGGAACGTGGGGGGGGGGCTTTCTCCTCCTCAGCTGGGGCCAGGTCAGTGAGGGGGGTTTTTTGCTTCTCACTTGTGTGTGGCCCCGACTGACTTTTCTGTGGGTCAGCAGCCCCGACCCAGAAAAGTTCTCTCCCCCTCTCCCTCCCCCCGGCAGATCCCAGACTAGCGATGCCGGCTCTGCCCGTTTTGGGTCACTGCTGACACGCTAAGGAACGCCGACTTCCTAGTGTCCCAGCGAGCACCACTCTGGAAACGGATACGCGCCTGGGAGTCGGTGTGCAAAGCAGGGCTGTCAGTGGTTAACTGGTTACCCCCGGGGGAGCGTTGACGGGAGAGGCTCAGCAGTTCTGGGTAACCGGTAGAGCCTGGAGCAGCTGCCTGGCCTGGCCTGGCCTCCCCACCGCCGGCTACACACTGGCTCTCGGGGACCCAGCTGGGGAGTCTGAGTTATTTCAGCTTTAGGCCACCGAGCCCGCAGCGCGTGTAATCACTGCAGTGTGCAGCAGTTACACGTCTAAGCACGTTTTCACCCCCCCAGTGCCGAGCACGGCTGCTCGTTGGCAAGGAGAAGAGGCTCTGCCCCGAGCCAGCATCTCGTCTTGGCTCCTGAGGTCGAGCCGGGTCCTCACTCTTCTCGTGCATTTTTACACTGGAGCTAAAGTTCTCTTGGCCAGATGCATGAAAAGAGCAGGGGCTGGACCAAATCGGTCAGATAAACAGCAGCACGTTGCTGGGCCCAGGCAGCAGAGCCCTGGAGCTGGAAGGACCGTGGCAGCTCAGGTGTGGCTGCGATGCTGGAAGGAGCAAGCACACAACCTGCCTCCTCTTTAGAAAGCGCTGAGGGTGGCCCTGGGCGTTAGTGAGTCAAAGCAGAAGTTTCAAGAGTCTAGAGCACAACAGGGATGAACAAACGTGGAAACAGCCCTTCTCCTGTCCGCTGCAGCCTGAAGGCATCCTGCCAGTGGTCGCTACAGGCGCACGGGACATGCAGACTGGGAATGGCGCGTGAAGGTTTGAGCAGGGGGGGAGCCTTCGAGGACTTAACCCCCATGGTCTCCTGGGGCAGTTGTGTTCAGGCGGCGGCGCTGACCGAGGAGAGGGACCGTGGCATGGCCGCGTCCCAGGGCAGGGCTGACTTTCTGACCTGTGAGAGGATAGAGCTGCTAGCGAGCCCACAAGCCCCGTTCAATGTAAACACGCTTGGCTTTGCAGGCAGCTAGCCCCCACCCCTCGTGCACTGATGCGCCTGCTTCGTTTTGGACCCGTGAGCAGGGCCACTGAAGCCCCCGGCCGTGTTGGGTGGCGCGTTGGGCGACGCGTGGGATGCTCTCAGGCCCTGGCCTAAGGTCAATAATATTTCAGTTCTTTTTGTACCTAGAAAAGAAGGGACTGGATCTCAGAGGACGACTTCTCCAGGCCGTCTCCGGAAGGGAGCAGCAAAGGCCTTACGGGTTCCTCTGGGTCCTCCCCTGAGGGGGTGCAGGAAGGCCGGTCCGCAGAGCCGAGCAGCGCACTCCGTCTGGAGGAGGCTTCAAGGATCGGAAGGCCCCAGGCCGCCCCTGAGCAGGAACAAAAGGGCTTCCATGTTGTGCATCGCAGGCAGATCGGTGCGTGAGCGCAGCCCGAAGGGGCCGTGGGGATGGCACGGGAAGCCGCCCGGGTGGAGCGTAGGCGCAGCGGGGGAGCTGCCTTGCAAACCCTCCTGGTGAGAGAAGCACTTTGCGCCACGTCATTCTGATGAGACCCCTTCTGAGCAGGCGTAGAGGGCGCCAGCTGCTCGTGGGTCCCCGTGCTGCGGGGTGCTCCTGGCCCCAGCTGTGGGGGTAGCTAGCAGATTTCTCTGGCATGCAGGCCCTAAGAGATCCATTCTCCCCAGTGCCTGGTCACCAATACCAGTGCAAAGTGCAAGGCGAGCGCCCCTTCTCTGGGGGCAGTTTTACACACTCATTTTGCACAAGGGGTAGAGCAGTGGGAAGTCAGGCCACTCTCTGAGAGGCAGCTGGAACGCTTCCCTGCTGCTGTGCCTGCTCGTGGGAGCTTCTCCCCGGCTCACGGAGTGTCTTGTCTCCCCAAGGTCTCTCCAATCCCTTCCGAGGCCTCCTGAAGCTGGGCACTTTGGAGCGCCGGGGAGCCATGGGCCTGTGGAAGGAGCTCTGCTGTGAGCTGTCGCCTCTGGAGTTGCGCCTCTTCCTGGACCACGAGGAGCGGGTTTGCCTGGAGAACCTCTCGCTGCTGCGCTGCGAGTCGCTGGGGCGGGTGTGCAGCGACGGCCGCTTCGAGCTGGTGTTCTCGGGGAAGAGGCTGTGCTTGCGGGCCCCTTCCCGGGACGAGGCTGAGGACTGGCTGGACAGGATACACGAGGCGCTCCGCAAGTGCCGGCCCCAGCAGGAGGAGGAATGGGAGACGCTTGACTGTCCGGAAGGCGCCCTGGAGGGGCTCGCGGTTGGAGCGCTGCCTGGCGAGTCAGCGGCGTTGCCCCCGGCCAGCAGCGCTGCTGGAAGCGCCTGTGTCTGGACGTCTGCTCTTGCACCAGAACTCGACGCCGTGAAAGAAACGGTGCTGTACATGGATGTCGACAGGGCTTGGGCTCCGTTCATTTTTTCCTTGTCGTTGGACGCTTTAAAATGCTTTAAAGTGAGAAACCACGAAAAAATCCTGAGCAACAGCTACGGGATAGAGACGATCCAGGACATCCTGCCCGACACGAGTCTGGGCCCGCAAGCCCGCCCCGAGCGTGGGGCCCCCGAGCGCCGCCGCCGCCGCGGCGTGGAGGGGGCTCGTCCGCCGGGTGCTGACCTCGTATCTAGAAACGGCCGAGGAGGCGCTGACGCTCGGGGGCCATTTGGACGGGAATTCGCAGGCCATCTTGAAAACCACCGTAAAGGAAAATGGCTTTTTGCTGCAGTACCTGGTGGCCATCCCCGTGGAGAAAGGCCTGGGCTCCCAGAGCTTCATCTGCGCAGGTAGGTGCTGGCTTGGCCGTGCGTCCTGGCTCCGCCTCACGGGACAGGCCTGGCCTGGCCGCTGAAAGCCGGGGCTCCGGCCCGGGGACGAGCCACGAGGAGCGGGTGGTCCCAGGGATCAGCGCTCCAGGGACAGAGAGCTCCACTGCAGCAGCCTGTGACTCATTTAACCGGCACCCAGGAAGTCCCTCCCCCAGCGCTCTGATTCCATAGGAGACCAGACACTGATTTCCCCAGAAAGCTTCGTGTGCTCTTCCTTTAGTCGATTAAACTCGGGGAATCCCCACCCGGGTGCTCTGCGCCCAGCAGGCTTTTCATTTCCGAACCATCACGTCCTTCTGCCGGAGCCCGGCTGCCCCTCGGCCACTGACGGGCAGAGGCAGCCGACCGAGGGGTTTGCAGGGCCTGTCTGAGCTTGGCTTCCCTGCCTGCAGTCATGTCCTAGCCCTTGAAATGGGCCGACCCAGGCGTGTGTGCTGGCTGCCAGGAGCAGCGTGTGGCCCATGTGCGTGGCCAAGGCCGGAGTGCGACTCCCACGGTCTGTCTCACTAACTCTGCTCCTGCTGGGCGGTGGAGAGCGCAGCCCCCTCCGCTGGGCTCCGACTGGCCCCCAGTCAATACGCAAGCCCCGGTTCTCCCGCGTGGGACGTGACTAGTAGGAAAAACTCATGATCCAAATCTCACCACAGTGAACCCCAAAGGAGCCAGGTTAGTGGCTTCCAGCTGCTCCTTCTAAGGGTTCCACATCCCGGGCTGAGCCTGGACATTTGTATCTAGCCACAGAGGAGACGGGGGCCAGATCTCCTAGCGACTGGTTGGAGCAACTCTCTTTCCTTGGTGCCGTGCTGCTCACCGCTTGGGTTGGTTTCTTGCTGTTTTCTGCGTCTGTGCGCTCGGGGCTGCTTTGGTCAGCTGGGAGCTTTGGGGAAAACCCCCTTGAGCTTTGATTTCCTACTGCGCCTTCTGGGCAGGGGGAACGGGACCCACTGTGCTCTGCTGGAACCCCTGGGAAGCGCACGCTTCTCCCGTTAGCAGCTCCCTCTTTACACCTCCCTCGCTGGACTCTTCTGTGTTACTCTTCTCACTTTCTCTTGGCCTCTCTCTAGCCCCAGTGACTCTGCTGCCCCGTCTAATTGGAGATGTTCTCCGCAAAGTGCTTCCGTCCACAGCCCAGCTCCCAGGTCTGTGCTCTTTGGACCCATCTTTGGAGGTGCCTGGGGTTAGGGTTCGCTGTTCTCTCACGGCCCAATCTCTCTTCTTCCCAGGCTGTTCCCGCCAGATCGGACTCAGTTTTGTGAAACCCAAACTTTGTGCCTTCTCTGGACTCTATTACTGCGACGGTTGCCACCAGGACGACGAGTCTGTGATTCCCTCGCGCCTCATCCACAACTGGGACTTGACAAAAAGAGCAGTAAGTCTCGGGAGGGGCTGCCCAGTTCTCTCACACCCCTGTGGTCCAGCGGGGCAGGAGGGGATTTTGCCCGGGCGTGGCGCTGGGGCACTGGTGCTGGAATAGCGTGTGCGGGTCTGACATCCACGCTTGGAAAAGGGTGTTGGCAACCTGCGGAGGGTGCAGAAAAGAACCAGCGGCCTAAAGGTCAGGAGGAGAATACAGCTGGCGGTGCCTGCAGGGAGCCAGTACCACGCAGTGCAAAGCAGGACAAGAGGCCGCCTGGCTCCAGTCGAATTAGACGCACGGTTTGCCAGGGAGGGTGGGTTTGCTGCTGCAGCAGAGGCAGGTTCGCTGCCGTTTGGAGTCCTCAGCTTGAGCCGGGATGACTCTGAAAGATGCTGTAGCCCCAACACCGTTCTCTGGCCTGTGTGATGTGAAGGCGCAGTGATCCTGTGGTCCCTTCTGGCCTTACAGTCCTCGACTGTCCTCGGGAGCATCCTTCGTGGCAAGGCCTGCTCCAGAGCCGGCAGGGGGCATCCCCTGCGGCGAGGCCGGCCCGGATCAGTGACGGCTTTTCCTGTCTTTTAGATTTGTCGACAAGCGTTAAAATTCCTGAATCAGATCCGCGATCAACCCTTAATCAACCTGAAGCTGGTGAACGAGAGCCTGTACGGCCACGCGGAGCAGATGAGTCGAATCCGCAGAAGCCGCGAGCAGCTGAAACTGCTGGGCGATTACCTCCTCGTGTGTCGCAGCGGGGCCCTGAAGGAGCTCAGCAAAAGGTGAGGCCGCTCTCTGCGCTGCTGGCGTCCTGACCGTCCGCCCAGACTCACGGCTCCCCAGCCTGGCCTGGCTCCGTCTCCCTCCCCGCCCAGGCACCTCGTCAGGGCGCTCTGCAAAGGCCCTGGGGGGCTGGAGCAGCCCGAGACCGAGCCGGGGGTCCAAGGAGCGGCTCTGCCTGGAGCTGGAGCCTTCTGGAGGAGTCTGGATGCCACGGGTCCTGGGAGCTAGACACTCCCGACTCCGCCACCTGCCGGGCCCTTGGGAGGGGCGATGGTCTGTGCCCAGCTGTGGCAGGCGGGAGGGTCGCTCCCGTGCCGTGCCGTGGGGAACTGGCCTTGGCAAGGGCCTGGGAGCGCTGACCGTCGGCCTGCTGCCTGGGCCGGCCCCTTGCACCTAACGAGGGGCGGAGTCGCCCCCTTCCCACGGCAACGAGGCCACAGCCGGGGGGCGTGCACTCGAGGGGCTCTGCACGCGGGACCCCTGCCAGCTGGGCCACGGAGTGTTTGTGTCCAGCGCAAACCCAGCTGTGGCCGCCCCGACATGCATGGAGAGCCCCAGATACAGGAGGTGCCAATAACAGTGAAACGAAGCGGCGGCGCCCTGGCCACAGGCCCCGGCGGGTCTCCAGTCCTGGGCCAGCAGCTTTGAAGCCGCTCGTGCGCCTCCCCTCCGGCCATGGGAGCACTCGAGGGGCGCGTCCTTCAGTCCCCGCTCTGGGAGCTTTGCTGCTTAATGTGCATCGCCCCCCTGGCCGGGGAGAGCTGGGACATGTGGCCCCAACCCCCCCGGGTCACCGCCTGGCCGCAACCCACGCCCGGGGTTAGGCAG